CAAAAAGACGGAGGGAAAGGTGAAGCGAATGATTAAAGCAAATCCCAACGTCTCAAGCCGTGATTTGGCTAAAAAGTTCGGCATGTCGCAGAGCTACGTCCAGAATGCAAAGAAGAGAGCTGGACTACATACATACAATGTACAGAAATTCCCAAACCGCGATGAGCGGCAACAATCGACGGCTAAAACTCGGGCACGGAAGCTCTACGAGAAGATGCTGACAAAATATGGCTGCTGTGTGATGGACGACGAAACGTATATAAAAGCCGATTTTAAGCAAATTCCGGGGTTGGAGTTTTTCACCGGCAAGAGCAAGTTCGATGTGGACGACAAATTTAAGAAGAAGAAAATGTCGAAGTTCGCCTCCAAATATCTCATTTGGCAGGCCATCTGCTCTTGCGGACTGAGGAGTGAGCCTTTCGTGACAAAGGGTACAGTAAATGGCGAGATCTACAAATCTGAGTGCCTCGAGAAGCGCCTTTTGCCGTTCTTGCAGCAGCACGACGAAGCTCCGTTATTTTGGCCAGATTTGGCATCATGCCACTATTCTAAAAGTGTCCTGGAGTGGTATGAGGCCAATTCCTTCCATTTTGTTCCAAAGGACATGAATCCGCCAAACTGTCCGGAGCTGCGCCCGGTGGAGCAGTACTGGGCAATAATGAAGCGGGAACTTCGGAAGAGCAAGAAGACAGTCAAAGACGAGAAGGACATGTTAAGAAAATAGAAAAAAAACTGAGAAACTGGTACCGGATGACACTGTAAACACTTTGATGGAGGGCATCAAGCGAAAATGCGTTCAATTTTACACTCAAGGCTCCATCGATTAACTTTTATTTTGATTTTTGAAGTAAATAAAGGGTGTCCACGATGAAATTGCCACACTATGAAATTGCTCTAACTTTTTAACCGTTGGGTAGAATTTAATGAAAATTTGGGTGGAATTAGTTCATAGTGCATTATTTACATCCTGCAAGTTTTAAAGTCCTGTGATCAAAACTCGCGGAAATGGAGTCGAAAGAACAGCTCGTGCGTGATAAAATCTTGCGCATTCATCACGAGAACAAGGATCTCTCACATCGTTCCATCGCTAAAACGTTGGGAATCGCGAATTCCACGGTGTCGCGAGTGATTAAGCGGTTCGAGGAACGGTTGACCACCGATCGGAAGCCCAAAGAAGGAAAAAGTATTCCGTACAACACCAAAAATCACAACCGCGTAGTTGGGGCCTTCAACCGAAATCCGAACGCCTCCGTTAGGGATGTGGCTAAGAAGCTGCACCTAAGCCGAAGTTTTGTCCAGAAGGCCAAAACTAAGGCTGGACTTCGAACGTTCAAGGTACAAAAGGCCCCTAATCGCGACGAGAAGCAGAACAAGTCCGCCAAAACCCGTGCCAAGAAGTTGTACCTCAACATGCTGACGAAAGTTGAATGCTGCATCATGGACGACGAAACATATGTGAAGGCCGCAACATGCAAAAAACGGTTGTGCAGAATCTTATGGCCGGGGCTAAGGCCAAGGTGCGGGCATTTGCGTATGGACTGTAAATAAAATACGAGTAAAATGGTAAAATGAAGTTTAATAGTTATTTCTCAATCCCTGAAAATTTGATGGCAATCGGATGAAAACTCGAATTTTGCGAATCAATTTTGTGTGTGGCAATTTCATCGTGGACACCCTTTATATGTATAAAACTACCCTAAAACTTTGGTTTGATTCTAAACATTTTAAGAAAATTATCATGACATTTTCGGTGTCGCAATAATTTCGTGTTCGCCCTTTAATCGGGCTCGATCTTGTCGAGAGCCGTAGGAACGTAACTAATGCTTCTTTCGTATCTGACGTTTTTCAGTCTCACATAAGGGGTGTCCCACATCAAATTGCATCAAGGAAAAAAAAAACGCTGTAAAAAATTACCGATTGGGTGTTTTCTCTTGATAGTTTGATTAGAAGTAGTTTAGAGTGTATTGTTTACACTGTATTTTTGTCGCTGTCAGTTTTTCGTCGTGAATTGATTTTGCGCAAGCGCCTGGAATAATCAACTCTCTCATCGGGACATCAGAAAACAACTCGGAATCGTGCAGTCAACGGTGAGTCATGTGATTAAACGTTTCTACGTAACTCTGAGCATCGAACGGAAGGAGAAATGCGGTCAGAATGGATGTTCTATTAGTGATCAGGATCACAAGCGTGTCGTGAAAGCGTTTAAGCGGAATCCCAATGCTTCGGTCAGGGATGTGATCAAAAAGTTGAATCCGTCCAAGTCTTTCGTTCATAGAGCCAAGGACCGGGAGGGACTGCATACGTTCAAAGTGCAGAAGGGTCCAAATCGTGACGAACGGCAAAATACGGTGGGAAAGTCACGGGCTCGGAAACTGTACACCCAGATGCTGACGAAGACTCATTGTCTCATCATGGATGATGAGACTTACGGCAAGGCGGACTTCCGGCAGCCTCCGGGCTACTGTTCTTCACCGCCCAGCACAAGCTTGATGTTCCGGAGGCAGTAAGAAAGCAGAAATTTTCAAAGTTTTTGATTTGGCAAGCGATCTGCTCTGTGGCAAACGGAGTGTGCCGGGACTGTAAACGGGGAGATCTATCTCAAGGAGTGTCTACAGAAGCGTCTGATTCCTCTGTTGAAGCAATACAAGTACCCTACGATCTTTTGGCCGGATCTACCTTCGTTCCACTATTCAAATGTTGTCCTGGAGTGGTACAAAGCCAACGCGGTCTGTTTCGTACCCAAGGACATGTAAATTGTATCATTTGGATTGAAATCTGTTGATGCTAAAATATTAGGAGAATCTTTGTCCATTTGAGAAAAAAATCTTTGAAGTAAGCTCCACTCAAATGGGCTATTCCCTGCTCCGAATAAAGATGAAGATTACATTTTCTACAGCTATTGTGAAGCATGTCGGATAAGAATACAAATATATTACATATATATAAAGTTATAATGACTTTCTGGCTATAACATTTTGAAGGGTTTTTAAAAGAAAATCAAATAAATTAATCAAAAAGAGGTCTGTGATATTCAAACTACAGTAAAGAGCCAGATTATTGGAAGGTTTCCTAATTATCCTAAAAATGCCCTTTACACACTGCGTGGGATTTAGTGTAAATCAAGATATTAATCTAGAATTGGAATGTTGGATATTGGAAAATCTTTATACTAGATGTGTTCCGAAAAGAAAGATTTAATTGATGAGTTTTGTCAACATGAATGACTAGTAAATGTTGAGCTTTTCAGCTGAAAAATCACTACAATATTACAATGCAAATAGTCAATCATGCTCATGCGCAACCATCAAGCGTTCACTTCAATCAGATTTAGGCCGCTCTTTATTAGGGTTGGCAATACCGGAGGCTTATTTCTAGAAACGGTTTTCCAGTAATGAAAAAATTTTACCGGTAAAACCGGTCTTAGGAGGAACTAAAAGAAAACTGCATAATTATAAGAAAATGTGTTTATTGGTAAATTATTCAGTTAAAAATGCGCTTATCAAAACTAGGCTTGTTCGTTAAAGTAAAATTGAACAATGCAAAGAGCGTTTATCGTATTATCTTCCAAACGAGAACGAATTTTAGTGACGAAGTAAAAACAAAGGGCATCGTAAATCATCTTCATATATTTGCCTTTCAAACCCTCAGCATCGTAGTAGGCAAACTATTGTTTAATAACTTTTTTCAAACTGTTCGTGACGTTGACGCTGAGCTAGTTCTGAAAGCTGCAAACTTTGACTGCTGTAACCGTCTGTCAAATGTTTCCTTCAGGGTCAAACCATCGTTATCTACATCAGCGGTTTCGTCCAGTCAATTCAGCTCCTCTCTTCGCTCGGCGTATGCATGTATTCCGTTATCATCCAAATCAATCAAGTATAAGTCTAGTATAAGAGAGGAGCGGATTCAAAACAAACTACCTTGGCAACCTATGCCTAGGTGAATTATAGCAACACTGCCAATGCAATCAAGATAGACGCTTATCGATTGGCTCTGGTTTTGACAGTTCGTTTGGCTCAAAACCAGCCAGTCCACCCCGCTCTTATACTAAACCCGCTCTACTCCAAAGTCATTTGTCATTGTATGTAAATTAAATTATTCTTTGTTTTTTATATTACATACATTAATTTATTTATATATCTGTCACTATGGTAAACAAGTAGAAAACAATAAAAAAAGCTGGACAAATTCAACAACTAAAACGAAAATACAGGTTTTTTATCGTACAAAAACCAGTATTTGTAAATTGTAAAAGAGCACGGTAATGCCGGTAAAACCGGTTTCGGTAATACCGAAAAAGCCAGTTTCGGTAGAACCGGTTAATCAACCCTACTCATTGTATTCTGTAATTAAATGTTGCTTTCTGTTAAGTATAGCTCCTACGTTCTACAAATTCAAAGTGGAATCGTTTTCTGAAATAATTTAAATTCTTACCATGGTTAGAACTGTTACCATTTTCAAACATTCTCTAAAAATCCTTCCTATCTCTTTTCATTTTCAGATAACGTCGATACCTGAAGCTTTCCAACGGCAAAATCTGAGCGTCACAACTTGCACAGAACCAATCAAGCAGAGGAAGCAAACTGGCCGAGAAAAATAAATCAACTTGCAAAACTTTTCCATTGTCACACACATACCGATCCCCCTGATTGTTCTTGCTGAGCAAACTTGCCCATGAACTAAGCGTAACGGGAAAAAAGACCGATCACCACAGTTTGCGAGAAACTTGCTCCTTGTTGCGATATTTTCACTTGCTTTCCCTCATTTATTGTCCATCCTCTTCCTCCGAATAATCCCCACACATCCATTGTTGACGTTTTCTCACATATTGTTGCCCATGTTACGCTAGATCTACTTTCAGTGACCAGGAAAAACAGAAACTGCTGTGTTCACAAATTTTAGAAACTTTCCCCCCGCTGTGTGTCGTCACTTCCGGTTTATCATCTCTTTCTATCTATATCTCTCTATTTCTCTAAACCTGTCAGAGTTTATTTTAACCTCAGCACCCTTCCCTTCAGAAACGTGTTTTACTCTCAGTGTGTGCGCCTCGTGTTGAAAAGATAAACAAACCAGCAACCAGGAAAGAACGAATCGAACGAACGTGTGACGTAGTGTTGTGAATTGTTTCTTTTGAAGCATCAGTGTTAACAGTTAAGTTACTGCAGCGACCACCACCAACAACAACAACAACTAAACCAAGATGGCGGCTTTCATCGCTAAGCAGATGGTTGGTAGCCAGCTGAATGCTGTCAAAGGTGAGTTTTTTTTTATTGAATCTCAATTATATTTTAAGGAAGTAGCCTTGTATAATATATCATAAAATGTTGGATCGGGTGTTAAGATTGGATCTGTTTGTTTTTAAAACCTACCTCAGGTTGAGGTTCGCACTGACAAAAAATTCGCTTTCTGGTGCGAAACATTGGAACTGGTTCCAATCCAGGTAATAAACGAATTCGCTTTTAGTGTTGAGCTGCATTTTTTTTTCAAAAACCTGCTTCAATTTCAAGCACCAACTTCCAGCAAAACAAAAACACCAACGAAATGACTCTTCCAGTGAATCGACTGACTCGGTATACCAAAGCCAGTGACTTCTAACGGAGATCGTCTCTTTATCAGTCGACATTCCGGTGCCTTCATTATCCTCAACAATTTAAATCGTCTTTCAAATTGCCAACAATGATAACGAAATAACAGGATGACGACCGTCGTTGTGGTTCGTCCTGGCCGTGGCGCCTTACCATTAATGGTGTTGTACCTTTCGTCACGGCTACTGCCCGCAGACCGGGTCAATTTAACGACGAGAAGAATGACATTTTTTCACGTCTACTGATTCGATAACGGGGTTTTTCTATCGCCATCTCGCCACCTCTTCACAAAGCCCAAACGGTGCGTAATGAAGCAAATGATTCCAAAGCTAGGAAGCCAGGGTGTTTGCTGCCGGAGTGGGACAAGAATTTCCATTTCAGCTTATTGCTTGAGTAAGAATGGGAAATTCTTTCTACGGCTCTTTTGAAGAATTATCAGCAATTTCACCGGCTTTAGCTATGGAAGCTGCGGAGGAAATTAGGAAGAGCGGGTGGGGATGAAATATTTCCTATTAATCGAAAAATGGCGAGCATTATCAATGAATTATTTATGATCGTGGTCGGTCATTAAAGATGATTTATGCACGATTCATATTGGATCGGCGCGGAAGAGCGAGCTTCTATCGAGTAAGAAACACGGCACGTGGCAAATTGATTGAGTTCAGGAATGAGTTTCAACTAGCAGCGGGAGATTATTTAGCAATTTCAATGAAAAACGGAAATTCTAATCAAAGCTTAAAGGTGAGGAAAAATATAAACTTGAAAAGATATACGGCGCACTCGTTGATTCTAAATCATTAGGGCAAACGCTCCTATAGTTGCGGTACGTACGGTACGGTTGAAATTAAAGTTACTGTCTTTACATTATCTGATCTTCCTCCAAATGCTTTAAACTTCTCTAATGTTTAACTTCTTAGGAGCTGTCAGAAATACCCTGAAGGCCTCGGAACTCCTTAAAAGTTTTTTTTTTTCAGTTGTCTGAATCTAATGCAACTGCCTTGAAGTTCTCTGATCATTGCTGAATTCTTGCAGTTTTTCTTAAGTTTTTGAAATTAATCTGAGGTTCACGGAACTTTTCTTCAACGGTTACCTCATTCTTGAGCTGTTCCGCTTAGTTCCAGATACTCTCTGGAATCAAATGGTACGGGACTGCCCTAAGATTTTTTTATGTTCCCTGATGCTCTTGGAGCTTCCTGAAGTTCTCGCAATTGGGTTGTTTAGGGGTATTGAGTAATGATAAGTATTGAGGTAATACATATTCGTTATCTGCATTAAAAATAGAACCGAAATCCAAAATTTCATCATTTTTGGTATATTGGAACTATTTTAAATAAGTACGATAACATTAGCAAAAATCACCATCTAAGCGCCCCTTGGTGGAAATTTGTATGGGAGCGAGCTGTCAACAAATAGATGTAGTGTCAACGATCAAAAATTTAAATCTTGATTTAAAAATCGAGATGAATATCTACGGGATCGATAAAAATATCGTTTTGCTCAGAAATCAAAGCTCAATCAGATGGTGTATGAAAATCAGTATATTTTTCGAAGTTAACCCAATTCTCTCGCCCCGAATTTATTGAAAGTGCCTTATAAATCTTCTGTTAAATTCCTGATATATTTCTGACGGTCTCTAATATTCTCAACTCAGCCTTACAGGTCTTTAAACCACACCAAAAACCTGGCATTTCGTTAAGTTCTCGAATCTTTCTTGAAGTTATAGGCACTGCCCTAAAGATCTATAAGCTTTCTCACAATTTTCCTCAACTTCTCTGCACTTTTGTCAACTTGTCTGGCCTTCGTTTAGATTCTCTTAATCAGTGTTTGAAAAATAAAAAAAAAAATTCAAATCTCACCAAAGAACAAGATCACGCTTGATTTTGGAGCAAAATTTGTTAATATTTTGCTCCAAAATCAAGCGTAATCTTGTTCTTTGGTGAGATTTGATTTATTTTTTTATTTTTCAAACACTGATTAAGAGAATCTAAACGAAGTCCAGACAAGTTGACAAAAGTGCAGAGAAGTTGAGGAAAATTGTGAGAAAGCTTATAGATCTTTAGGGAAGTACCTATAACTTCAAGAAAGATTCGAGAACTGTGGTTAATATTGCAAGTTGTGATATCGCAGCTCAGAATATCAAGCAAACAAAACTCACTAGCTGCAAATCTCACCAAACTGTACGTCAATCTATCCAGCGGAACAAACTTAACGAATTTCAAAGTTGATTCGTGTTTTGGAATGTACCAATAGCGTACCATAGCGTACCATAGCGTACCTTCAAGGATTTTAAACGTACCTCAAAGCTTCCCGGAAAACCCGTGTCCCGCTGGATAGACATAGGATTTTTGCAATGATCAAGACGATCGACCACATTTGTACGAAAATGTGACGTACCAAATGCGTATTTTACGAATTTGTAATAAATTTTTAACGTACCTTTTAGTTTCACTTAAATGCTTATACTAAACTTTTTAAAACGGTTTATACTTGAACTCTGGGCACGGAATTGGATTCCTCGGAAAATTTTAACACGATTTCATATACAAAACATTATACTTAAGTACATTCTAGCCGATTTGAGGACCAAAAACAGTTTTTTTATTTGCATCCCTTGAAAATATACTAATTTCGAACAAAACCGTTAATTTCATGAATAATTATGGAGACGCACGGTGCTGCTTGGAAAACTTCCATCATGAGAAATGCCTTGATAGCTTTCTGATCGGCCATGACCAACGTACCTAACTGGAATTCACTCTCTGATAGAATTTACCAGTGATTTAAATAAAAATTAGTATTATTTTAAAAATTCCATTTCTTTGATGATACATTAGAGAAAATGAAATATATATAAGGGAAAACACATCAATGACAAAAACTGACAATACCGGACGGTCCCTACGTTTATGCTTTTTGATGCAAATTGAAGAGAATTCGGCAAGATTATTTTTTTGGCATAATTCTTTTAATAGGAGGGGCTAAAAATTTGCACTAATAGGCATAAAGATAGGTACCGTCCGGATGGAATTCAATTTTGAAATCTGTGTTAGGGAAAGTGCTTTTTGCAGGCAATCTGTGATAATTATCGTAGCAACAGTAGCACACTCGTGCAATTTTCAATTGACATTTTGAAAAACGATAAAGTCTTGATTTTTACAGAATTAAAATCCATCATCTCTGGACCAAAATCAGACAACTTTGATTTTTGAAATTGCGCCCCCAATGTTGCCTTAAACATACATAGTATGTCAAATTCAAACTTATGGGAACTGACATCCGATTGATGATCTTAACAAGCGTCGCGTCACTTTTAAAAAAAATACCACTCTACATTGATCGATTCTGTTCATCGACCCTCTTTTTCGTTGATAGCTTGGCTTCATTCATATTTCGGGCCAATTTTTGTACATAGTCTATTAACCGAAACTATTATTAAGCGAATTAGACGATAAGAACAACTGAACAAGTTTTTGGAGCCGAGTTATTACCGAAAGAAATATTCAATGAAGAGAATCTATCAATGTAGATTGGTCTATTTGAAAGTTAACGCGAGAAGTGCCCAGAAAATCTCAATGCTTCATCAGAACAGAAACTCGCTGTAGTGGAGTCCATACTGTCTGCTGGATTGAAACAAATCAACGATCTGGTGAACAGGAATGGTAAGCTTCTTGACTTGGTTCTCGTCAGTGACTCCGATTGCATCGAGCTGTTTGAACCACCCTTTGCATTTATGAAAGTTAATTGTCACCACAAGCCGTTGGTTCTAAAAGTTGACTCCCATTCGAGAGATCATCCGCTCACCCAGCAGCCCACAGTGAATATAATTTGGCCTTGGATTGGGTACAAATACCTGACCAACCCACCATTGATGCCGCCGTCTCCGTATTCTACGACAACGTCTATCCAAGATACTGTCCCGGTGAAGACACGAAAATCTTGTTTGCAATTCCAACAACCTTGGTGGAATCCGCAATTGCGTAATCTGTGTAACCGTCTGCGTAAAGCTCGAAAACGTTACTTTTGTTCCTGGACCGCAGTAAACAAGTATACGGTGCAGCTGGTAGAAGCAGAGTATAATAGTTTGCAGGAAGCTCGCTTTCGTGAGTAACCTTCAAAGGGGTTCCAAGGAAAATCCATCGTCGTTTTGGTCTTTTATCAACTCGCGGAAAAGATCAGCTGGTATTCCCTTGGACGTCACCTACGGTAGTAGAAACTCCACCACCGACACCGATTCTGCTGACCTTTTCGCTGACTTTTTCCGAAGTGTTTTTGAACCCGATCAAACACCTCTACCGCAGCAATACATTGATCAGCTACCAAGATACGACATTCACCTGCAGCAGCTCATCTTCAGTCAAGACGCTATTCTCAAAGCCCTTTGCTCAGTCGATCCATCGAAAGGTCCAGGCCCGGACCGTATAAGTTCTCGAAAATCTTCTGCATGAAAAGTTGTATCCAGCTGTTCAACCCATAATCTCAGAGTTTCAAGCATGGATTCATGAAAAAGCGCTCGACAGTCTGTAACTTGATGACTTACACGAACACTCTTCTAGGTAGCATCGACAAGCATCAGCAAGTGGACTCCGTTTACATCGACTTCTCTAAGGCTTTTGACAAAATCCCTCACGACCTAGCCATTATGAAGCTAAACCGCCTTGGTCTTCCACCGT